CGGAATTGGAAAGTCCACTTTTCTTACAAAGCTCTGTTTAGATTGGGTCGAATGCGAAGAAACAAGTGATTGTGAAGATAGAACTATTTTAGAGAAATTCAAACTTGTTCTTCTTCTCAAGCTCCGGGAAGTGTCCCATTGTAAGACGTTAAAAGAAGTAATCAGTCTCTCTGATCTTCTCTCAGACGAAGATAAATATCTCACAGATGAGTTGCTTCATTACATCAACGAGAATCAGGAACAGGTCCTTTTCGTCTTTGATGGCTATGATGAATATGGTGAAGGAAAGAATTCCGAAGTTTTTGACATCTTCCGGGGAGACAAGCTGCGGGGCTGCAGCGTTTTGGTGACGTCTCGATCCTCTCAGGGTGATGACCTCAGGGAATTTGCCGATATGTACGCTGAAGTTACTGGTTTCAGTAGAAAAGACATTGAAGAGTTCGTCGTAAAACAACTTGGTGAGTTTGAAGGAAAGGCCCTGATGCACCACCTGGAGAAGGAAAGGTTGATTGATACCGCCAAGGTTCCCATTTTATGTCTGTTTTTCACCATGTTGTGGAAGAAGATGAGGGAAAAGTTTACTACTAAGAATAGGACGATGGTATTCTTGGAAATTGTCCAGTGCATTTTGGACTACGATTATGGAAAGGGTGCTTCTGACCAGCCCAGAACTTTTGAGGATAGTAAGGACATCCTTGCTGATCTTGGAGAGGTAGCTTTGGAAGCTCTGTTGTCTGATGATCTTCTCTTCGAGTATAGTAAATTGAGGCAAATAAAGGGTTGCGATGCTGTAATTAGAGGCTTCCTGCAAGTCACCGAGGATACTGAGAACATTCGGCCTTCCGAAAGAGTATCCTTCATTCACAAAACAATTCACGAATTTTTAGCCGCCTGGTTTGTTGTGCACAAACTGGTCCCTGAACGTAACCTTGGACGCTTGCGAGAGAAAACAAGGGACAGCGAGAGTTGTCTTCGTCTTGAGAATGTCTTTCTTTTTATCAGTGGATTGTCTTGTGATGGAGCCGGAGCCGAGTTGGTTTTAGGGCACCTAACAGATGTCAACCGGGACGACCGAAACCTTCAGTTTAAGCAGACAGTTGTTTTGCCGGGAAAAAGTGAGAAGACATGCTATGATCTTACTTATCGTCAATTAAGATTTCACGACTTGGTGTTTGCGTTATTTGATGAAGCGCAATTGAAAGAAGGGCTTCTAAGACATTGCCTTTCAAGGACAGATGGAGTGATGATACTTTCCCAAAGACTTGTGAAGAACCTTTTGGAGTGCAGCGATAATATTGTCCAAATGGATAATGGAACTGTAATGGTCAAGAAGGTTAAAGATGACCTTCCGTTCTACCTGGAAGAGAATTTGAGGAAGTTCTTTGATAGTTTCGACGTGGCAGTAAAGGTAACAGAAAGTTCTCAGGCCCTCCAACTGGGGGACTTTTACAGGAAGTTCTTGAACTGTGGCTTTCGCTGCATGTGCAACTTTAGTGCTGTTCTTTTTTCAAATAAAGGAAGTATCGCGTGTTATATAACTGACCTTCTTGTGGCTTGTGAGCTTCATGAACTTATGTTCACTGGATATGCAACTGAAGGCCACCGTTTTCTCGAATTTATCATAGCCGAGGATGTTAAACACATCAATCAAGACCACGAACTCCAAAAAGGTCTTCGCCTTCAGCATTCAGTGCCGCTTGAATTTCCCTTTCAAGGACCAAGTGAAGCCAGATCACTTCTTAACGCGCAGAACCCTTCGTCTGACGAGTATTTGCTCAACCACCTTCAATCCTTAGAATGTGTCTCTACTTCAAGCAGAGAGATACTTAGAGCATTCGGTGTCATTGCTGGGAAATCAAAGTATTTTAATTCTGTAAAACTACGTCTTGGAAAAGGTGGTGATTTTTGTGATTTTCTAGAGCCAGCCAAGACCTTGAAGGATTGTTCAATTCAATTGTCAGGTGACCTGTCGCATCCCTGTATGTCAGCCGGAGAAACCAGACTCTCAAACTTACTACCAAATTTCAAAAAGCTCTCGGTTCTACACCTCAACCTAAAAGATTGCACCAAGGTCCTTGTTAACCAATTGGTCGCCGTTATCACGCAATCCACGATCAAATCACTTGAGTTGGAAGAGGTGGATTTGATCGAAGATACCGCCATTGTTCTTGGTAACTCTGTTTGTAGGATGTCAGCTCTGGAAGTTCTTGTAATCATGGGAAAGCTGAACGAATTAGGATTGGCAGGGATGCAAGCTTTATTCGGGGGATTTACGCAAGAAATACCTTTAAGAGAACTTAAACTCAGCTATTTTAATGTCCGCAAGGATGGTCTCAAATTTCTCCGAAATAGCTTCCAGTTTTTCCCCCGACTTGAAGAACTTCGTCTCGTCAAACTAGGTATTGATGATAAAGATGTCTGTGATCTCTTGAGAAACGTGAACTTTCCAGAATTACACAAACTGGATTTTTCGCAGAATCGGCTAGGCCATGGGATTACCTCCATTGTGAACCATATTGAGCGTTTCCCGAAGATATTGCAACTCGTGTTGGAGGATGTAAACTGTTCCGAAGAAGACAAGGTGTTCATAATCGAGAACGTCAGAAAGTTTCGGCCATTGTTTGGTGTTTGCCCACTATCGCTTGATACAATAAACGCTTTCTCAAGAAGCGACAATCAGTGAGTGAAATTTATGGTCAAACGTTCTCGAGAAGAAAATGTGTTTCATCAACTTTTACTGAAATGTTGTTTCGAAAACCTCAAGATCTTAAATCTGTTAACTTTTTGTTGCCTTTGATGGAGGACGAAATTGATAACTTCCAAGACTGGATTTCACCCTTTCTATTCTTTTTTGTTTTTGTTATTTTTTGCTTTGTTTTGTTTAAATGTCAATTGATAATTAATCGAGCGGATCGGTTGTTCACCTTACAACGCTTCATTTGTTATACATTTACAGTGACCAGTAGATAAGGCTAACTCAGAGAGTGCGCAAATGCTCTAAAGATACTCGCGCTCTTGCTGTTTTTCTTTATTAGTTGTAGCAGAATCAAATGAAGACGTGAATTTTGTTGGATCCCGTGTCATTGTGTAAGTCTAGACAACAGTACGAGTAGTATAGAAATGTTCAGACACACGCTTTCACCAGTATATACAAATAGCATATCCTGTCTATTGATAATAAACAGTTGAAGAACATAAGATGTTAAATGTTGATTTTTCTTGCGTTTTGTATTTATCTTTTTTTTTCCCTATCTTTGAGAAATCATAATGGGGCACGAAGCTGTTAAACAATTCAGGTATCCGCTCTCCAGAGGGGGACAGAGATGGGTGTGTCACTTCCCACTGTAGTTTGCACGGATATGATCTGTGCGAGAGCCAAACGAAATAAAGGAAAAGTATCGGGTGTTAGCATACATGACCAGCAAATTATACATTGATGAATTACTGGGTCGTAAAAGGCTGACCGAACTGTAGCGCCAGTCAGGTTGTAACGTCAGATAGGATGCAACACTAGTCAGGGTATAGCGCTCGTCAGGGTTTATTTTAAGGTTGCGCTTGCGCCTCAGATGTCGGAACTAAAGACGTGACAATTGCGTGACGCGAACCGTGACGTCATAGAAACCGGTTTAGACCGGTTAAGGGAGCATGAGAAAGCGTTGTGGGGAGAAGAAAAGATGGCGAACGTACTGTCTAGTGCGATGTAAATAAATGTGTTTAAAAACTAGCGGTGTCAAGAAATCACTGCGACACAGATATTTTATATCCTGCTATAAAATCTTAACAAAAGCAACCGACATTTCGCGGAAAATTATGGTATAAAAATACTTTTTAAATTCGCAAGGCCTACCACTGTCAAAAGGAAGTGTTGTGGGAAATGCTAACCCTCCGCCCAGAGAAACTTGTGTTGTTCAGGCGAAACGCTTTGGTATAGTCAAAATATTAGAAAAAAATCACGACTGCTTTTCATTTCAGCGAATAATGATATAATGGCAACGACCACTGAAAGAAGTAGTTTAAGTTTGCTTTTATACTGTTTGGCGAGTAGTGACGAAATGCATTCAGTAAGAGATCAGTTTTTTTTCTTCAGCCACCAATGCGAATGAAAAAGCCTTTAAATTAATTAATTAAATTTATTTTTATTTGAATTTTCAAATCGATCACCTGAATACAGCATGCTTCCAATCAGCGTGACTGACATACAAAGGAGGATGTCAGCCAGCTCAACTGTCATATGTCAACTACAAAATAGGGGAAAAATTTATGGATGATGTAGGCTGCATATGAGACCTGCATATTAGACCTGAAGTTACAATGTTTGTTCCGATCTAAGTCGCATTTCCGATTTTTCGCGGAAGAGATGAGGAATGTGATGAACTGTTTGAATCGTTTTGCAATTTTTTGGAGCTCAAGATCTCATTGTTGGTTATTCAGTTACCCTGAGTATCAGGCTTTCTAAGGGAGATCGACGTTGAGAGAAATACAAAAGGAAGAAAGGCCTTCCTTCCGCTTTCGCTTGGCTGCACTCCCCCTTCCGTTGGAAGGCCTGCATGTTACTCAGACTAGCTTCTATAAACGACCACACACTATCCGAAAACTGGGAGGGTCTGAGATAAATATTTTGTACTTTTTTCTTTCTGGCTCTTAACCTTCGGAATCTTGGACATTATCCTTTATCAAAATAACTTTTTGTCAATCGGACTTTTTTTAAAGTTCTTGGTGATATTATGCGGAACGGCATTCGCCCATGTCATGCAACAGTTACTTCCGCTCTCGGGTTGAGAGACAATCCCATGACTCACGCGATCTCAGGTAGAAACTTATACTCCGTTAAGATACCAAAATTTAGTGGCCTGTTAATTAAGCTATTTTATTTCATCTCTTCGATTTCCTCAGAAGATTCAGCTCCAGGGATATTACACTTACTCGCGGAAATTTACCTCACGCGCTGGTGATAAACCAGGTGGTGTTACATGACACACACAATGTTCACACCCATAATGGCGACTTCCGTTCTGAGAAATCGATTGTGTCAATGGGTCAGTATTTTAAGGAGCTGTTCATTACTTAAGTGTTTTAGTTGCCTCCCAATATTTGCATAAGAAAGATGCAAATTCCATAGCAAAGAACTGCGAAATAGTCAACGTTTATCTCGATAAAGGTAAGTAAAAACAGCATATTTCAGTTACCAAAGGTAAGGAACACACATGGTGGGTCAGGTCTTAGCTTCTGTACATCATACATCATGTGAAGCTCCCATTCACGGTTCGTCGCACAACTTTCCTGCAAATTTAAGAATCAGTCTCTAGAATATGTCTCAGTTGTATTGCTGCAGGGGGTTGCCACATGTTTTGTATCGCGTTCTATCATTGTGTGACAGTACCGTTCCGGGCCAACATTGCAAAGTCGTATACATGCATTTCCTACTTGCCTTCCGGTCACACGATCTTGAGCTGGAGGACAAGGAATTAGTTCCAAATTGTATACAGTAGCTTTTTTTCGATTAACACAGATTTTGCTCAAATCTGCAATGGGAATCTTTCTTGGTACTCCTAAATATTGGTGGATGTTAATTAAAGTTTGACGAACGTTCCAGCGAGTTTCTTAGATGTTTGACTGCGCAAGACAAAACTCTCACAAAGGTGTTCTGAATGTATGTAAGGTTCAAATTTAGCTATGTGGGAAACGTTTCTCTCTATTTTCTGAAACAAAAACGAAAAAATTGGACTAGGAGCATGAAATACTTAAAGTGGAATAATTAACATTATTCACTAATGAGTCGAGCATCACGTTATTTACAAAAAGAGTGCAAAGGTCGAGCTAATGGCTTGTGCTTGAATTCAATTCATAATGTAAACAGAAATTATCTGTGCCTAATGGCCCATCCAGCATCAGGTTGCATGAGGACATATTTATTGATCAACACATTCTGGAATTCTCTGTTTCATTCATAACCTGAGTCCTTTCACTAATATAAGTCGACCTTTTCATTAAAATTTGATATAAGATATAACTTGAAATTCTTATTATATCAAATTGAGAAAGTTGTTGCAGTTTACTATGGTTCTAATTTAGACATGAAAATATGCCAATTTTGGTATTGAATAAAAAAGCACAGTCGGCATTTATTTTTAATAAATGACTACTAACCTTTTCTCTCCCAAGATCTCAAAAGTAATTCTTCTTATTGTATGCCATAAAATTCTCATGGTGTTAGTTCAGAGAATTTAGCACTGGATCAACTAATAAATTTCTCTTAATCAATATTTTTTTCTCGGCACCACTTGTCTACTTGATATTGTAACCAATTTGATACTGTAAAGAGAAATTCTAATTCAGGGTTACTCATGAGAGTGGAAGGGCTTTTTAGTGTAACTTATTTGGCTTACAAAGCTTGCTTTCCCTCTGATTAAAAAGATATGCTGTTTGTCATTTTACCATTATCTATACCCACTTACCTATAATTGGCTCCTGGAAGTCCCTTTTATTCTACAACTGCGTGTTTTTTGTTTGATCACCTGCCTTTGGATAATTTTTTTTACAACTGTCAGTATTTAATGTCTATTAAACTTGCTTTTGAATAAGAGACAGGAATAATTAGTTCTAGAGGGACTGTTGCAATCTTCAAGACCTGTGTTTCTCAGATTTCTATTTTAATGGCTTAGATTGCAATCCATCTATGAAAATCTTAAAAAAAAAAAAAAAATTAAAACACCCTTTATTTTACACACAAGTCAAGAACATTATTCATATAATTTGCAATCATAGAACAGCCAAGAATAAGAATTCATGATATTTTAGCTCAAACTGGTTCTTTGTTTAACCATTGATTTTAAGTCCAGCATCAGCATGGATATTCTCAATACTGTCCTCTGTATATTTCCCATGGTAATGAAAGGTGAATTTTTTGTTAGTGATCATTACCTTTATTCTTGCTACCTTCATGGTGTGTTCAGTTGTGATTAGTGAAATGAAAAGTTTGTTGTTAGTCACTTTTGGAGTGTCAATAAGTGTTTTGAAACTGTTTTGGGATGAGTGTTTTTGATGCTTCCAGTTGAAGAGTACTGATAACATATTTTTTTTTTAAATGGCACTGTTCGTAGTGATTTATTTATTCTGTTTTTTTTTTGGAAGGAAAGAGCTTTGCAATGGATACTCATTTCAGCAAGTTACCAAACAGTCTGATTGAAATATGTGTGGTAGTGGGCATGGATCAGGATACTGGCCTTGTTCTAGCCAGATCTGCTGAGGTAGTTTGACACAACTGAGTAAAAACAAGAGAGATGGATCAACAATTTTTTTAAAAGAAAAGGAGTTGAAAGGAAAGAACAGCTCAGAGATTGATGAGCAAACAAAAAAAGAAGGAATAAAACAAAAGCAAAAAAATAAGCTTGAAATTATTTGATAGCAGAAAAGTGTTTTTCTGCAAATGAATTTTCTCTCCCTGAAACCCCCAATGCTAAGAGGAAAAAGACAAAGTATTTTCAGGATATCTGTGCACGTGTATTAGTACTACTTACATGTAATCTCCAAACGAGGAGTGATGTTGCTGTTCTGTTTTCAACAGAGCAAGAAAGCTTCAAAAAGCAGTAAACAAGAGTCTCCTCTTTCTCAAACTCTGTTTGAAACCCATGTACTGGCTGCCTTGTCAGGAGAAGTGGCTTCGTTTTGTTGCACAGCAGTGGAGTTTGACAGTAAGCTAGCAGTCCATTGTCTACTTTTTGCTTGCACTTTACATTTATCAATTATTCGTCGAAGGCGAGGTGAATATCGTCAAATAATCCCTGAGACGAAGTCAAGGGGATTATCATTATTCAACAATATTCACGGAACCTGAGGCAAATAATTGTTTTAGTATAATTTCAGAGCTGAACAACAGAGAAATTTCTAAAATCATAACATTTTAGTAACATTTATTAACATTTTATTTTAACATTTTATATAAACCTCGTGGAGCGGTTATATAGCGTCATATAAGGAACCGCTCGACCAATCAGATTGCTGGAAACTCTTTGCTCAGCTCTGAAATTATACTAATAATTTATAATATTGGATGTTCAAAGTGGGGGAAGGTTGGCGGAGTTTCTTCAAGATGTGTCAGTATCCCAACTATTTCACACTGAAACNTATTATTATTATTATTATTAATTATAATAATTATTATATTCTTTTGCCTAACACTTCTCTGCTGCTGAATGCACTGAGAAAAAAAATGATCTCCATGAAGTAGGACTTGATCGATATCTATTATTATTATTATTATTAATTATAATAATTATTATATTCTTTTGCCTAACACTTCTCTGCTGCTGAATGCACTGAGAAAAAAAATGATCTCCATGAAGTAGGACTTGATCGATATCTTGGCACCTCCATTCGCGAATCGGCAATAATTGCACACATGATAGAGCAGCCTAACACAAAAAAATATCTTGTCTTCCTCGATAGTCATCACCAAACCGTTCATGACCTTTATGAATACTTCCACAAGCAATTAAAGACATCTATATTAAAAACTGATCTCGTCTATCGTGTCCTTGATTTGAAGCAGAGTGGGACGGCTGTACACAGGTATTGCTCGAAATCGATCAATATTTCCACGAACATTTTACGTGATGTCATCACAAGCAATCGACTGCGCATGCCTCCGATTTTACTTCCGACAAATTTTGTATTACTGCCACGGGCGATTAACTCTAACAACCACAATTTCAACACGGCGAGACGACACGACTCGAATCAACACGGTTCAAACTGCAAATAAAACAGCAAACGAAACCCTATTACAATATAAACTACACTAAATACCGAAGGAAAGCTACAAAGAAAACGACGACGAAAACTGCATAATACAAACTTACATTTGTTGCGATGTTGTAGATACTGCCTAGTGGCGAATAAGCTGCACAAAGCGAAAAGAACGAAAATACAAACTGCACTGAAAAAACTGCATCAACGATGAACAATACGGTTTAAATACATGCTACGTAACGTAATGACAGAAAGAAAGCGCACGCAAAACTTTACTACAATTAACACTACTGCACAAGAAACAATAGACAAAAAATAATGCGTAGCGATCTACATTTTGGCTCTTTCTCGCTGTTGTAAAGAATAGGCTGCTGCTTCGCCAAGGCTCGAAATGTTTTATAGAGTTATAAAGGCATAAAGGCGGACCAAAGGTTAAAAATCGTAACAAAAAACACTTGGAATAATCCCGCGCTAGCTAGGGTGCATTCAAGGCTTCGCTTCAAGTGCGTCTCTGGTATTTGCTAATTGCGTTTGCATCCTATTCGGGTTTTACTTGTGCACAGCCAAACCATTATAGTTGGGAATTTCCCAAATTATAGAAAACAATTAAAAAAGGTAAACGTAACAAAAGCAACCGACATGTTGCCAAAAGTTATGTTTTAAAAACATTTTCTTGTATACAGCATACCGCTGTCCAAAGGAAAAGGGTCTCAGTGCGCTTTTCGGGTGAGATGACTACAGGCGACTTGACCTTAAAACGGAAATGTAAACTCTCAGGAGAAGCTTGTGTTGGGCAGGCGAAGCGAAGCGCTTTGGAGTTGTCGAAATGTTCAATAGTTTGCCACTGCTTTTTTGTTGGGCGAATAACAACAAAAACAACAACAGCAATAATACTACTAATAATAATAATTAGCCAAGGTATGATCGAAGTCTGTTGCAAGGGCAACAGGACGATAGGAGGAAGTTTGAAAATATTGAAGAAGCGAGTGAATTTTGGATAGCATTATGGGAAGGAACTGAGAGTGAAAACGCTGGAATGGGATGGATTGAGGATATAAGAGAGGCTATGAAGGAAGCTGTCCCTGAGATACCCACAGCCAAGTTTAAACTTACAGGCGACAAAGTAGAGCAGTTGGTCAGAAGGAAGAGGAACTGTAGAGCAAAGGGTGTTTTCATTCTATTTGGCGAGCAGTTTGTTTTTTTTTCCAACACTCTGATCATCTTGAAGAGCTCAAAGATGAATTGAAGGGAATCTTCAAGGATCGCGAACTTCCCAGAACGAAGCGCTTATTGACAGGCGCGTAGCGTCCTATACGCACGCACGTGCGTACTTGAAGTGACTAGAAAACTTTGAAAACATTGTTGTGTTTGCGCCAAGTTTGCTCAAAATAAGGGCAAGACGCTTTGTTCTTTGCTTGTATTCACACAACTATTTCGAACAAAAAGTAAAGAACGCAGCATTTTTCGCTCAGTTTACTTAGGTTTCTAGATCACATGTACCTGTGCGTACGTGAAAAATGACCACGCTACGTGCCTGATTGAACGTTGAGAGCGACGGTGGAGCAATCCAAGCTTCGTGCCGTGGGAAATCCTCGAAACGTTTACAATTCGATCCGATCAATACCAATTGTACTTGTAATGCTACAGCCAATTCTAGTCTTTCTACCGCGATCAGCCAACAGGTACGTTGTACTCCGGCAAGATTTCCTATTGGTTCTACTGGTGTGTCTTCCATTCGAAGTCATCCATACGGACTCGTGCTAGAAGCTTTCCCTTGTCAACTGACAATAAGATATACTGCTTTGAGTAGATAAGTCGAGCCCTGTGATTGGTTAGCATGTTTTGGCGCGGACACTTTCCTGAATATGGTAAGTAAATGCTGATTGGTCGAAATCCTGGAGTGCAGTGCGAATGTGAGCAGCCTTTTCTGGGGGAGTTATTCGCCTGGCGTGACGACTCCGGAAGTGGCAGTAAAGCAGTCTAGGCTGCCACTGTTGTTGTGGGAACTGCGAACCCTCCGCCTAGAGAAACTTGTGTTGTTCATGCGAAGCGCTTTGGTATAATAAGAGTATTAAAAAACTCGTCACTACTTTTTATTTCAGCGAATAATGATAAAATGGCAACGACCACTGAAAGAAGTAATTTAAGGGTGTTTTCATTCTATTTGGCGAGCAGTATTTTTTTCCAGTCACAAATGCGAATCATGGAAAGAGCCTCAAGACATTAATTAATTTATTTCTTAATATTTAAATCGATCGGCATACCTTGACTTCAATTTAATGCTTACTATGGAATATCTTAGAGACCTCTAGATTTTGGGTGATATCGGCTGGCTTCAACGACGTTTGACAATTAAAATCTTACATATCATGAAACGGTTAATTTTTCCCCCATTTTGTAGTCGACAGTTATGCTGGCTGACACTTTCCTTTTTTGGTCAGTCACGCTGTTTGTGAAATCCATAAAATGATCACATCATGTATGACTTGAGGTCACAATGTTTGTTCAGTTATAAGTCGCATTTCCGATTTTTCGCGGAAGAGATGAGGAATGTAGTGAATTCTTTTGAAATCACTTTGAAATCTTTTGGGGCTTAAGATCTCACTGTTGGTTATAATTAGTCTGAGTATCTGGCTTTCCATGGGGGAAAGAGGTTGAGAGAAATACAAAAGGAAGAAAGGCCTTCCTCCCGTTTTCGCTTGGCTCCACTCCTGCTTTCGTTGGAAGGCTTGCATGTCACTCAGATTAGCTTTTTTAAATGATCACACACTATCCGAAACAGGGAGGGTCTGGGATTGATATTTCGTCTCTTTTTCTTTCTAGCTCTTAACCTTCGGAATCTTGGACATTATCCTTTATCAAAATAACTTTTTGTCAATCGGACTTTGTTTAAAGTTCTTGGTGATATTATGCGGAACGGCATTCGCCCATGTCATGCAACAGTTACTTCCGCTCTCGGGTTGAGAGACAATCCCATGACTCACGCGATCTCAGGTAGAAACTTATACTCCGTTAAGATACCAAAATTTAGTGGCCTGTTAATTAAGCTATTTTATTTCATCTCTTCGATTTCCTCAGAAGATTCAGCTCCAGGGATATTACACTTACTCGCGGAAATTTACCTCACGCGCTGGTGATAAACCAGGTGGTGTTACATGACACACACAATGTTCACACCCATAATGGCGACTTCCGTTCTGAGAAATCGATTGTGTCAATGGGTCAGTATTTTAAGGAGCTGTTCATTACTTAAGTGTTTTAGTTGCCTCCCAATATTTGCATAAGAAAGATGCAAATTCCATAGCAAAGAACTGCGAAATAGTCAACGTTTATCTCGATAAAGGTAAGTAAAAACAGCATATTTCAGTTACCAAAGGTAAGGAACACACATGGTGGGTCAGGTCTTAGCTTCTGTACATCATACATCATGTGAAGCTCCCATTCACGGTTCGTCGCACAACTTTCCTGCAAATTTAAGAATCAGTCTCTAGAATATGTCTCAGTTGTATTGCTGCAGGGGGTTGCCACATGTTTTGTATCGCGTTCTATCATTGTGTGACAGTACCGTTCCGGGCCAACATTGCAAAGTCGTATACATGCATTTCCTACTTGCCTTCCGGTCACACGATCTTGAGCTGGAGGACAAGGAATTAGTTCCAAATTGTATACAGTAGCTTTTTTTCGATTAACACAGATTTTGCTCAAATCTGCAATGGGAATCTTTCTTGGTACTCCTAAATATTGTTGGATGTTAATTAAAGTTTGACGAACGTTCCAGCGAGTTTCTTAGATGTTTGACTGCGCAAGACAAAACTCTCACAAAGGTGTTCTGAATGTATGTAAGGTTCAAATTTAGCTATGTGGGAAACGTTTCTCTCTATTTTCTGAAACAAAAACGAAAAAATTGGACTAGGAGCATGAAATACTTAAAGTGGAATAATTAACATTATTCACTAATGAGTCGAGCATCACGTTATTTACAAAAAGAGTGCAAAGGTCGAGCTAATGGCTTGTGCTTGAATTCAATTCATAATGTAAACAGAAATTATCTGTGCCTAATGGCCCATCCAGCATCAGGTTGCATGAGGACATATTTATTGATCAACACATTCTGGAATTCTCTGTTTCATTCATAACCTGAGTCCTTTCACTAATATAAGTCGACCTTTTCATTAAAATTTGATATAAGATATAACTTGAAATTCTTATTATATCAAATTGAGAAAGTTGTTGCAGTTTACTATGGTTCTAATTTAGACATGAAAATATGCCAATTTTGGTATTGAATAAAAAAGCACAGTCGGCATTTATTTTTAATAAATGACTACTAACCTTTTCTCTCCCAAGATCTCAAAAGTAATTCTTCTTATTGTATGCCATAAAATTCTCATGGTGTTAGTTCAGAGAATTTAGCACTGGATCAACTAATAAATTTCTCTTAATCAATATTTTTTTCTCGGCACCACTTGTCTACTTGATATTGTAACCAATTTGATACTGTAAAGAGAAATTCTAATTCAGGGTTACTCATGAGAGTGGAAGGGCTTTTTAGTGTAACTTATTTGGCTTACAAAGCTTGCTTTCCCTCTGATTAAAAAGATATGCTGTTTGTCATTTTACCATTATCTATACCCACTTACCTATAATTGGCTCCTGGAAGTCCCTTTTATTCTACAACTGCGTGTTTTTTGTTTGATCACCTGCCTTTGGATAATTTTTTTTACAACTGTCAGTATTTAATGTCTATTAAACTTGCTTTTGAATAAGAGACAGGAATAATTAGTTCTAGAGGGACTGTTGCAATCTTCAAGACCTGTGTTTCTCAGATTTCTATTTTAATGGCTTAGATTGCAATCCATCTATGAAAATCTTAAAAAAAAAAAAAAAATTAAAACACCCTTTATTTTACACACAAGTCAAGAACATTATTCATATAATTTGCAATCATAGAACAGCCAAGAATAAGAATTCATGATATTTTAGCTCAAACTGGTTCTTTGTTTAACCATTGATTTTAAGTCCAGCATCAGCATGGATATTCTCAATACTGTCCTCTGTATATTTCCCATGGTAATGAAAGGTGAATTTTTTGTTAGTGATCATTACCTTTATTCTTGCTACCTTCATGGTGTGTTCAGTTGTGATTAGTGAAATGAAAAGTTTGTTGTTAGTCACTTTTGGAGTGTCAATAAGTGTTTTGAAACTGTTTTGGGATGAGTGTTTTTGATGCTTCCAGTTGAAGAGTACTGATAACATATTTTTTTTTTAAATGGCACTGTTCGTAGTGATTTATTTATTCTGTTTTTTTTTTGGAAGGAAAGAGCTTTGCAATGGATACTCATTTCAGCAAGTTACCAAACAGTCTGATTGAAATATGTGTGGTAGTGGGCATGGATCAGGATACTGGCCTTGTTCTAGCCAGATCTGCTGAGGTAGTTTGACACAACTGAGTAAAAACAAGAGAGATGGATCAACAATTTTTTTAAAAGAAAAGGAGTTGAAAGGAAAGAACAGCTCAGAGATTGATGAGCAAACAAAAAAAGAAGGAATAAAACAAAAGCAAAAAAATAAGCTTGAAATTATTTGATAGCAGAAAAGTGTTTTTCTGCAAATGAATTTTCTCTCCCTGAAACCCCCAATGCTAAGAGGAAAAAGACAAAGTATTTTCAGGATATCTGTGCACGTGTATTAGTACTACTTACATGTAATCTCCAAACGAGGAGTGATGTTGCTGTTCTGTTTTCAACAGAGCAAGAAAGCTTCAAAAAGCAGTAAACAAGAGTCTCCTCTTTCTCAAACTCTGTTTGAAACCCATGTACTGGCTGCCTTGTCAGGAGAAGTGGCTTCGTTTTGTTGCACAGCAGTGGAGTTTGACAGTAAGCTAGCAGTCCATTGTCTACTTTTTGCTTGCACTTTACATTTATCAATTATTCGTCGAAGGCGAGGTGAATATCGTCAAATAATCCCTGAGACGAAGTCCAGGGGATTATCATTATTCAACAATATTCATGGAACCTGAGGCAAATAATTGTTTTAGTATAATTTCAGAGCTGAACAACAGAGAAATTTCTAAAATCATAACATTTTAGTAACATTTATAAACATTTTATTTTAACATTTTATATAAACCTCGTGGAGCGGTTATATAGCGTCATATAAGGAACCGCTCGACCAATCAGATTGCTGGAAACTCTTTGCTCAGCTCTGAATTTATACTAATAATTTATAATATTGGATGTTCAAAGTGGGGGAAGGTTGGCGGAGTTTCTTCAAGATGTGTCAGTATCCCAACTATTTCACACTGAAACTTTTTCACAAAATGACCATGGCCAGCTTTACTTTAATTAAAGAAAGACACCAACAGTAACGTGTTTGATACGAGAGTGGTCTTCCTATGTGCTGTATGGGATCATGGTTTGAGCTGAGGAGCATCTTGCATCAACAGTATTAGGGAAGGGTATCTTGTTGAACCATCCAAGACTGGGATAGGCTAGGTTGTTTCATTGTCCCTAAATTGTATAGAGAACACTGATTACCATTTTTCGGTCAACGGATAATAAATTTTGACAAAAGCTCTACACCAACTACATGTATCAGTGGTCAAAATTGTATTCAGTGTAAAATTTATTTATTCTTCCAAATATCTTGTAGAAGAACCTCATTTGTCTTGTTGACATCTGGGAGAAATGAATCACAATCTGTCATGCTCAAACTATGTGTCTGTCATTTCTCTATCAGGTGAGCCTTATTATTCAAATTTGGGTATTCTGTGTAGCCCCGCTAAAGGTGGAAATCCTGGAAGGCGAGCACGAAGGGGATCAGTGAGGGTCAAGACAGCTGAATTACCACTGACACAGGAAGTTATAAGCAGCTTGCCACAATTTTGTTTTCCTGGTATGATGAAAACCTACTTCTTTCATTTATGTAGAAAGTGTGCAGTATTATTCATAAGAGAATTTTTTTTTTTCTTTCCTTCCATGGTCCTCATCTGTTCTCCTCATCCAACTTTGAACTTCCTTGCAGATGGTGGCACTATTTCTAAGAAAAAGAAACCAGTCGAGTGTCATTCACTTGTTCTCACAGACATGGAAGGTATGGCCAGGGAGTTTGGATACACTTCCCATTTATTTTACAGTTTTTTACACAATGGTGAGACAGTACATATTATGCCAATTCTCCTGGATTATCCAGGAGTCTCTCAGATACAGAGTCAACCTCCTGCTCTCCTATATGGGTGACTAAAACTCCTGGATAAAAGGAAGTTTGGATGAGTTGCCCACAAAAAAACTAAGATTTAAGCTCCTTATGTTCCAAAATTCCAAAATTGTTTGGCTTCTTATTCTTGTGTGATGCACATTGTTCATTGCAAACAAAAAGAGAGCTTTTTCTTTGTTACTCCTACGTAAGAGAGAGTCTGATTGAGTGAATATTCAACCAACTGAAGTCCCTGAGAGGTAGATCCACGTTTTCCCTGCAAAATTGCTTGGCATGCTCACTGATACTCAAAGGTCCACAGTCTGAATCTCGATCATGGGAGAGGAGGAGGTCCAAATCAAAAAAAGACATTTTTTGTCGGGGTTGCATCGGTAAATTAGGTTGGAGGGGGTGCTGGTCTGAAAAAGAATCTCCAGATTTGAGATCTCCAGTGGTTAGCATCTCTGCAGTATGATATTCCAGCCAGATAGTTTTTCTTTGTGGAAAGTTATTTCACTGTTATTATCACTTTAGATTAAGGATAAAACTGTTGATCAATATAAATACTTTTTGATTCAAATTGACTTTACATGGCTTTGTTTTGTGTACTTTTTAACT